AGGGCACGGTTTAGGCGTCTGAGATCGAGGATGGGCCACAGGCTGCCATCCTTTTTGGGGATGAGGAAGTAACGGCTGTAGAAGCCTGACTCGCTCTGAGCTGGTGGAACTGTTTCTACGGCTCCTTTTGCCAGCAATTTCTTTACCTCAACTCGCAGAACGTGAGTGTTCCTGCTGTGCACTGAGGTGGAGACCACGCTGTTGAACCACGGGGGTCTTCGAGCGTATTGAAGTGAATAACCTCGTTCTATAATCCCCAGAACCCAATGAGACACTCCGGGGATGGCCCGCCAGGCCTCGGCCCGTGTGACAAGGGGTTGGATTAATTCGGGTGGTGAGTCGCCATGCGGGGACGACACTCATGATAACTGGTAGAGGAAATTTGCTCTCTTTTTGAAAATGTTTATTTTTTATTTTTCTCGCTATCAAAGCGGATATGTGTGTGGGTGCTTTTAGAACAGGCAGTGATTCACAACAATTTCTGGAACAAACATACTGCCACCCAGAACTGAACTGAGTGCTTGAGGGCATGGCAGAGGGCGTTTCGGGGGTGGTCCGGCACTTGCGAGACTTTGCCCCTTCCTCTTCCTTTCCAGCGAATCAGGATGACGCCGGGGGCGTAGGGTCCAAGTTCAGCTTGGGCCGGAGTCCTTGGCGCTTTGGAAAGGGATAGCGTCTGGCCGAGCTGGAGCGCTGTCGGGGCTCAGGCTTTTGAGCAGGCTGAGCAGGCGACGGCACAGCTTTAGCTGGCTGCTGTGCTGGAGCAGGCTTGGGGCATCTGGTGGCCATCGCAGAGATGGACCGTTTCGGCAAGAAGTGTCACATGGCCTGGGACGACTTCTGAGCCGCGGTGAATCGCTCTGCAAATCCCTCAATGGCAGGTTCAAACAGCCCCGTAGGGGAGACCGGGGAGTCGAGGAAGGGAACCTTGTCAGCCTCCTTAATCTCGGTGAGGTTTACCCATAAGTGGTGCTCCAGCACCACTAGATTGGCCATTGACCTCCCTATGGCCTGCGCTGTGGCCTTGGTAGCCCTTAGAGCCAGGTCTGTAGCGCTGCGCAGCTCCCTGAAAGCTGCGGCATCAAGTCCTGACTCATCCATGGCCTGGAGGAGTTTGGCCTGAAAGACCTGGAGCACAGCCATGGAGTGTAGAGCTAAGGCGGCCTGCCCGGCGGAGGAATACGCTCGTCCAGCGAGGGCAGAAGTCGTCCTGCAGGGTTTGGAGGGGTGAGCGACCTTCGCTTTACATCCAATGGCAGTGGGCAGGCAAAGGTGTGCAGCCACTGCCTCGTCGAGAGGAGGCATCCTCTCGTAACCCCTTTCTTCAGCACCGTCCACTGAGGAGAGAGCAGAAGAAGAGTTAGAGCGAAGGCGGCCTGAGTAGGGAGCACGCCACGACTTCGTAAGCTCGTCATGGACCTCCAGGAAAAACGGAGAGGCTCGCTGACGAGGGGCCTGGCGGCGCCCTGGCAGGAACCATTTGTGCAGATGGCTACGAGTGGGCTCCTCCGGCGTAGACCACTCCAATCCCAGTTCCTCGACTGCCTTGGAGAGGATGCGGAAAAGTTGGGCATCCATCCCTGGCTTAGAGTCGCTGGGCTCGGCAGACGATGAAAGGGCGGGGTCAGCAATAGAGCCTGACATCTCCTCCGCGTCTGATGCTATTAGAGACCATGCTGTCATCTAATAGCTCGTTCTCTACGGGACTGAACGAGACCATGTCGCTCGCATCAGCTGAGGGACACTGGTCTGCGTGCTCAAAGAGAATGGGAGAATACTCTCTGCTTGGCGGTGGCGAGGCGCGGGATCTGGGCCGGCGCGTGCTCACACGTGGCAGAGTGCTTAGACCCTTTGCCTCGCTGTTTTCTCCTCACAGATCCCTGGGAGGAAGAAAACGGGAGGGCGCGAGGGGCAAATTCGCTCTCTAAAAAGAAAGCGATCCGAGCGCGAAGAGTGGCGAGACTCATGTTCACACAATGTGAACAATCCATCTCGGTCAGAGCGGCTTCCGCGTGGGGCTTACCCAAGCAAGAAATGCACTCTGAGTGGCCGTCACCATCGTACAGTGTAATACTGCACGACGTGCAATAACGGCGCGGCATTTGAAACAACGCCGCTGCTCTTTTAGAGAGAAAGTTGCTTTTTTAGGCTCGCCGGATGGCAGCAGGGGACGAGCTGGCGTCTGCGCTGGTCGCTGAGCAGCTCGAAGAGCAGGCGGAGCGGCGAGAGGGCTCAGAAGAAAACGGTAGCTTCTATCCGCAGCGAGGCGTTTCTACGGCAAGCGTCTTCAAGTCCTGAAGGTCAGCGAAGGGAAGATCGTCATCGCTGAAGGAGAATTGATCTGAGATCCTATGGCGTAATGCCCGCTTATATAGCCAGATGGCCCCGCCCATTCTGGCGGGCTTCACCGCCATAGGCTCATGCAGCACCGCTGCCGAGCCATTAGTTCGTTTTATAATCACTGCACGAACCAATGGCCGTGCAGTTACACTGCGTGATTGAATAAGTCTTCAGTCATCTGAGAAAAAGGAGTTTTTCCCATAAGCGTCTAGTGAAGCAGTACGAGTGAACTATCAATAGGGAACAACAGTCACTCAAATCAGAGTCACAACTGTTTTTGGATGCATCCCACATTCTGATAATGGGATGCAAAAATTCCTGATCTCATATGAAATGAATAAAAGATAAAGCAGCACATATAATATTTAGCTTGATCTCCCGAGGTTGAATATGAATATTTTCTAAAGGCATGTTTTCATGACCTTTTGTTGAACCACCACCACCAACTCTGTTTTTCCCTATTCATAGAAAGTGCCAAAAAACATTTGTCATTCTAAGTTAAGAAAACAGTTGGTGACCAAACACTTTATATTAGAACTAAAGGTTTTCTACTTTAACTAAAGGATTAGGGGTTTCTTGCAGTTAAGCCCAGAGAATTTACCATGGTAAACATACTTTATAGCACCAGAATTTTTCAGTTTCCTTTCTGAAATTTCCAACCTGTTATTAGCAGTGAAACTGATTACCTTGCGCCTGATTAGCATCTATTTGTTTGATTGGCAGTCACGAGATCCATCAGAGGAAACTGCAGCCTCACTGTGCCTGACTGGGCTTCACAAACCTTTGCTGGCTCCAATGGCACCTTGTTGTTTGTGGGCAATGTGAAATGTGCAGTTTTTAACGGCCGCATGGAACAAAGGAGCATTCAGGTGCTGTCAGACCATGGGGTGTTGTTCTTATAGAACAGAAATATATAATACACAAGTAAATAGCTTATTCATCCTCCGTCTGGGCTGTCAGGTTTTGAGCTTTCTTTTTTTATCTAACTATTGTGTCGAGCACGAAGAGATATTGTTCCCACTTCTCAAATTATGTGTACCCACGAAAATAAATAAATAAGCACCCAAATAGAAGTGCTGGCCAAGCACTGTGAATTTTATTGCCGCCCACCCCCTCTCTCCCACTACGGCTTCAGTTCTGAACGTTTGCAAAAAGCCCTTTATCCATCCGTCCCCATGAGCACCAGCAGGGGTGGAAGGGCAGGAGGCGATGAGAGATGCACTATAATATAGCCCAGCGTCCAGCGTATTTCAGAGTCAAGTCACATTCACAGTGACTGTAAGGGTATGTGTTAATGGTAGCTGAATTTTCCCCAGCTAGATTTAGAAAAAGAGTTCATGGCTTATACATTTGGAGAAGCTGTTGATGTCTGTAGCATAGTGCTGGTGAGTCCTACCATGTCAAGTTCTCATGTTTGTAATGGTTTGTGGCCATACATACTGAAGATATGTTGATCCTCATTTCACATTTTGGAGATGCAGGTTTAAGTCTGACACAGTCCTGTTTTCAACCCCTCTCCCAAAATAGTTTCCTGTCTTCTCTGTTCTGTACCAAAAACTGATGTTTCTTGTTTGAAATTTTATTTTGGATCTTTGTCTACTACATTTTGATGCCTATTAAATGTTTATTGCTAGAAAACACTACTCACTTGTCAAATCTATATTTAGACATAACTTAAATATTGCAGATTTAGCAAAAAAATTATATGAAATGAGAAGAAAATCTACTTAATTTGTTAATTTTGTTTATTTATATTTTTTAAATACAATTTTTAATTATTTTATTTTTTATGTGGTTATTTTGGTTTAATTGATTTTGGACCTTTAACCCTTTTTTCTTTAGGAATTGTTTTAGTAATGTGGTTTTTAATCATATAAAAAGAATGCAACAACATACTTATATCATTAGTTTAATCCCTACTATGCACTATATGGCCAAAAATATGTAGACATACAAACACCACACCCAATTTCAAAACCATTGGCATTAATCAAGAGTTGGTCCTCTGTAACAGCTTTCATTCTTCTGTAAAGATTTTACAGTAGATAAAGTTGCTCCTATTCGGACACAAAATTCTCTGAGTGATCCAATTAAGGTGTTCAGTGGGGTTCAGGTCTAGCTTTGTGCTGGACAATCCAGTTCTTTCAAGCAAATATTGAGTAAAAACTTCTTTGCGTGTCATTCTCCTGACAAGAATGACCCTCCTGAAACAAAGTTTCAGCACATAATTCCCTAGAATGTTTTTATATGAAGTGACATATTAACTGGAATTAAGGGGCCTAGACAAACCCAATAATTAGAAAGCGGTCTCCACATACTTCAGCCCATGTGCATATTTTCTAGGGTTGCACGATTAATCGCATGCGATATTTAACGTGCATCTTATCAGTAAAGCCGGTTCTGTAATCAGCGGTAAATCTCCATCACCTGCGTGCTTTCACATTGAGCAGCATTAACTACACAGAGCCGTTGTTCACTGACGAGCTGTGCTAAACCACGTTCATATTCGCGCGATTATTACAGAACCGGCTTTCTGACAAGATGTGCTTTAAATATCGCATGCAATTAATCGTGCAGCCCTAATATTTTCCAATATGAGGATTAAATCTGTCAAAGTTTGTTTTAATCTGGTGGTACTTTTTTTTTCTTCTCTCTCTCAGGCGGAGGAGATTTTGAGACGTGAGCTGGAGAAAAAGGAGACGCCATCACTTTACTGTCTGTTAGGCGATGTGCTAAAAGATCTGCAGTATTATGACCGAGCATGGGAGCTTTCCAAACACCGCAGTGCACGCGCCCAAAGGTCCAAAGCTCTGCATCACCTGCGCCACAAAGAATTCCAGCAGTGCGTGGAATGTTTCGAACACTCACTGCAAATCAATGCCATGCAGGTATGACGTGCACTTGTGCATAACTTTATAGTCCTTACACAAGTGTCCTGTAAATGCTGGTTGACGTTAACCACCCATTCCCCTATTTTACTGAAATGATTCAGGTGTATGCTGGGTACAAACTTTTTGTTAGTACTGGCCAGTGTTTCCTTTGACTTGAGAGCCGAATGATGGCATAACTGTTACAACATGAATACAAATAGCTGTTATGAATCATTTGTTTTAAAAACATTTTACATCCAATGTCATTTGTGACTGTCTAATTACAGTCATAGCCTGCTTTTGATGCAAAAACTTATAATTGATAAAATTCTTCAATCAGTTCACATGTGATATGTGACCCTGGACCACAAAACCAGTCATAAGAAATTGAGAATACATCATCTGAAAGCTGAATAAATAAGCTTTCCATTGATGTATGGTTTGTTAGGATAGGACAATATTTGGCCAAGATACAACTATTTGAAAATCTGGAGTCTGAGGGTCCAAAAAAGTCAAAATATTGAGAAAATCGCCTTTAACGATGTCCAAATGAAGTTCTTAGCAATGCATATTACTAATCAAAAATTACGTTTTGATATATGTACAGTAGGAAATTTACAAAATATCTTCATGGAACATGATTTTTACTTAATGTCCTAATGATTTTTGGCATAAAAGAAAAATCAATCATTTTTACCCATACAATGTATTTATGGCTATTGCTACAAATATACCCCAGCGACTTAAGACTGGTTTTGTGGTCCAGGGTCACATATTTGTAAATAATAGCCTAGCTTTTTATTTTAGATAGACAAGGGTAATAAAATGGCTGTAGTTTGAGTATTAACGAATTATGAAAACATTTTAACATTCATAGTAATTTGATTCAGTCTTTTTATGGTGCTTCTACAACAATGGCCAACTCTTATTTAATACAGTAAATAGCCATGAAATTCACATGATATCTGAAAATAAAATGTTATTTTATATGAACAGGGCAATAAAAGTTGCTGCAGCTGCTGTGCAACGCAATATACTTTTATATAGAAACAAGAGTGCAGTTGTAAACTGTAATTGGAACGGGACACATCCACAACAGTCAAACATATCAATCATTTTTATGTAGAAAATTAATGGAAAAGCATGACAGTGGAATGCAATAACACGTTCAGTGTGAACGACCCCTTAGTCTCTACAAACACAATGCTTGTGAACTGATGTTTTCATTTTGACCACAAATACACAAGCTCTAGAAGATCAAAAGGATGAATGTACTGTATAGAGAAGATTGGCAGAGTGCTGACAGAGAACATGAGAAAAAAAGCAAGACAGCAGTGTGTGGATGAGTGGCATGAGGTTCATCCACCACAGAACCAAAAAAGTGCACAGCTCTGTCTTTTTTTTCCCGTCCCTTACTCATTCTTCATTCCTCCCTTCATCCATAATGCAGAAGCACAGGCAGCAATAAGACAGAGTAATTTTCCTTAGGGACCCATTGATGACCCTAGTGTGATCTTTAACACCGCCTCGCAGTGCTGCCGCAGGGCCTGGCGGAGCTAATACTGCCTTCAGGCCTAGAACTGAAAGTAAGGACGGAACGAGGGCCAGAGAGATGCAAAGATGAGCACTCGGGAGAAGAAACCGATGATTTAAAACATATGAAAGAGACTGACTCCTTGAGGTTCATGGGTTCAAAAGACATCATTAATTTTTATGGGCCAAATAACACCTTTAAAAGATGACTGAAGCACTTGAAGCCTCTCATCAGTTTTCTTTTTGCCCTCGTCAGTAATCCTCCATCGTTCTCACGCTCTCTTCTCCATCTTTTTTCTCCTCAGTTGGGTGTGTGGTTCTCCCTGGGCTGTGCGTATTTTGCACTGGAAGGCTACGAAGGGGCCGCCAAAGCTTTTCAGAGATGCGTCGGACTGGAACCAGATGTAAGTCACACGGTCCTTGTAAGGAGATCAGTGTCATATGACCATAAAGAAAGGGCTTGTGCTTAGTTATTCCGTATTTGTGCTGTCATATCTGGTTTATGTCTATTGTAATCAATTGATTGTGTCTACGAATGCCTCCCTGTTTTTGTTCTTTTAGACTTCTGCTTGCTTTTATACATCTATAAAACTGCATAGACAGAGAACCCCTTTATATGTAGTACAGGAGCCTCTTATGCTCCTAATCGTGTACTTAAAATTCAAATGTAGTCAAGCGGCAGGCTTAATACTCCGACCAGGAAACGAGTAAACACGCTGTTAGGAAATATTCTGTACATGTCTGGTTTCTTATTTGTTTATAATGGTTTATTTTGACAAATGGCTTTCACCCGTGGACCTGACTCTGATCGTTACTCTCCTCCATTCAGAATTCAGAAGCATGGAACAACCTCTCCACGGCCTACATCAAACTGAGAATGAAGTGAGTATGAGTGTAAGCGCTAAGAATAAAGGCTGCATCAAAGAAGCTTTGTTTTGCTGGTGTTTTAATCCAATAAGAGCATTTACTTTTTTGTTCAGCAGTGGTATTTGCAGTACAGACTCTAATAAGTAGCCAGTTAAAAAAAAAAGTGACGTGACATGTGGCCAAGTATGGTGACCCATACTAGGAATTAGTGCTCTGCATTTAACCCATCCAAAGTGCACACACACAGCAGTGAACACACACACACTGTGAACACACACCCGGAGCAGTGGGCAGCCATTTTTTGCTGCGGCAGCCCGGGGAGCAGTTGGGGGATCAGTGCCTTGCTCAAGGGCACCTCAGTCGTGGTACTGAAGGTGGAAGAGAGCGCTGTACATTCACTCCCCCCACCTACAATCCCTGCCGGTACGAGACTCGAACTCGCAACCTTTGGGTTACGAGTCCGACTCTCTAACCATTAGGCCACGACTTCCCCCATAAGCTTTCCTTCAATATTTTGGATGTCCTACAAGAAGCCAGGCACTGATGAAACAAATAGCATGTCAGTATTTTGTCAGAATACATGGCTATTTTTGAGTAGTCTTTTGCTGGCCATGTCAGATTTGTATTTTTAATTTTTTTTGTACATACAATGCCGTTCAAAAGTTTAGGGTAAATAAGATTTGTTTTTGTTGTTTTTTTTTGGAAGAAAATGAACTCCGTAAGGATGCATTAAATTGATCAAAAGTGACAGTAAAGACAATTTGTTATAAATAAATGAAATAAATGCTTTCTATTTTCTCTTGAACACCAAATCAACATATCAAAATTATATTTGCCATTACAGGAACAAATTACAATATTACAATCATATAATTTGATCATATAAATGCAGCCTTAAACTTTTTAAAACATTTTAAAATATCCCCAAACTTTTTAACGGTAGTGTATATAGATAGATTAGTACTGCTTCTATTGATCTTTTTTCCATCCCATGACAAAGTGTGATGGACTACTAGACGTATGTGTGAATTTCTAAATAATAGCTAGCATTGCTCACACACACTTATCTTTCTCTGAAATCGCCACCATGTACAAACTGTAGATAAGCCCCTATTCAGGTTCCAGTTGACCTGATTTATGCTGCTTTTCTGCGTTTCCTTCATCCTGCATCCGCTGGGGACCCTCAGAGGCCTCCTTGCTTTTCAATTACTGCAGGAATGACTTTGGCAGCTGTAATTGCAAAGATAAATCTCCTCTGGGCTCTTGCTGTGTCTACCCCAGGAGCCAGCACTTCGCCACCACTACCAACCGGTCAATATTAACCAGATTTTGAAGCTAAATGCCAGTTAGGACATTTGTTGCTTGACATGATTGGAAGTTTTTGCTGATTTCCTGCGAGTACCGGAGATGTTTCCTGGAACACCACTGTAACAGCATGTACCTGAGGGATTCTGGGAATGATTTCTCTCTTCTCCTCTGCCCCTCGTCCAATTAGCCCTGTGCACTCATCCCTGAGATGAGTCTTTGGAATCTTCTATTAAAACCTGATTAACGCTCCCAAGGAACATCCAGAACAGAGGAAGTGTGTGTGTGTGGGAGAGATTGTGGACACACCTGCATGTGTTTAAAGGAAACTAGGCTTTAGATGTTACAATGAAACCCATGTCGACCCCTGTGTCACAGCCTTTTGTTGACAGCGCTTACAAAAATATCAGCTCTGTTCCAAAACCTAGTGATCTGTGTTGCTGTCTGCAGTCTATACCGGCAGTGTGCTAACCTCATACTGTAAGTGAATGATTTGGAATGCTCTGATAGCAGTCTGTGTGCCACACACAGCGTTTCTCACAAGACTCAAGTCACCGTGGATTCCATGTCGTTTGACTTTAGCATCTTGCTAAGCTAATGGTCCAGTACTCTTAAAAACAATTTGGTGTAGAAACAATTTTCATTTAGAATTTGCAAGTAAATTTCACAATTAATTACAATGAAATGGCTAGTAACATCAAATTAACATGACATTTTGAAGTAGAAGGACTGAAGTTGTGTTTTCTTGTAAAACGTACTTCAATACAATTGCTTTTTTTGCTCTTTCTTTCACTCTATTAGTTGACACTTTCTTTTACTTTTTCACTCTCTTTTGCTTTCTTTCACCCAGGATTTTTTTTTTTTTTTTTAGTTTTTCACTTTCTTTCTTTGGCTTTTTCACTTATTTCTTATTTCGCTGTGTGTATAGACCTGGGCGAGTTCAGTGAGGCTATCAGAGCCTACCATCGGCTCATGGACCTCAAGGACAAATTCAAGGACGTGGAGGTGAGTCAGCCTCACAGTTTTTCTCAGGTTAACCCCAAACTCTTTCTTTTTGCATACATTTCCAAAAGGTTTTCATCAGATAAAATGTTTAACAACATAAGCTGGAACGTTTTTTCTGGCTTGTGGAACCAGTGTAAAGCAGCTGGAGTCTCATTTGTGTCTCGTGCTGCTGTCATCACTGCTCCGACCACACTAACAGCTGCCCAACTGCATGCACAGATGAAACAGTCGTGTGTGTGTGTGTGTGTGTGTGTGTGTGTGTGTGTGTGTGTGTGTGTGTGTGTGTGTGTGGGTCACTTTCTTTCTTTGGCTCTTTCACTTATTTCTTATTTATTTGCCTCTTTCACGTTCTTTCTTTCGCTCTTTCTTTAGCTCATTCTTTTCCTGCACTCTTTCAATGTTTTTCTTTTTCTTTCACTCTTTCAGTTTTTTGTTCTCTTTGGCCCTTTTTTCAGTCTTTCCCTTATTCTTTTTGCTCTTTGATTCATTTTGCTCATTCGCTTTTCTAATTTCTTATGCACTCTTCAGCTATTTTGCTCTTTTTCACTTTTTCCCCTCTTTCTTTTGCTGTTTTGCCATTTCATTCTTTTGCTCTTTTGCTAAACATATTTTTCCTTTTCATTCTTTCACCCTTTAGCAGTTTAATTTTTTTTTAACTTTTTCTATCTTCTGCTCTTTCATTCTTTCACTTTCTTTCCTTTTGCTATTTCACACATTCTTTCACGTATTTATTCAAAAAAAAGTGGAGTGTTGCACCACTAGCTCAGAAACATGCTAACATCAGACTCGGGAATCAACCGTGAGGTAGTGTACAGTAATTATGTTGACTACCTGTACCTTTTAGAACAGCCTTTGTACCTAAAGCGCTCTCTTTGTAGACAGCTCACTAGGTTTTTGGAAGACAACTATTATACATTGCCACATTCTAACTGCAAGTTTGCCAAACCAGTTTTTGGAAGGGAGAACATAAAACTACTTTTTGTTTAACCGTACAATTCGACCCGTTTAATACTACAGTACATCCACAAGCAAATTCTATTAACAGTAGTCCTGCTAAACACACTGATCTTT